ATATATCCAAATGTATTTTTATATATTCCATTTTATATATTATATAAATTTGTATGTATAAAGTTAATTTATTTGTGTGCGTGACTGCGTGTGTGGATATTTGTTTATACACGCACAAAAATGATTACAAAATTTGTAAAATATATAGAAATAAATACATAATAAAATTTTCAGATTCTGCACAGGGTCTGTAAAATGTATGTCTGTGCATATATTATTTACATATTTGGCGGTTTTGTTTTGTTTTTACCTTAATTTTATAGGGAAGTGGAGTCAAGTCAGGAATATTATGTTTCAAAATCTGTTTTTAATAATAATTGTATTATAATCTAATGTAACAATCTGATAACTGCCAAAGCTGAAAGGACATATATACACCAAAATAATTTTTACTCAAAATGATCTCAGATAGAGAACAGAATACTGTTATAGAGAATACAGAATACTCAGATAACTGTCCATTATCCATTTATAGGGGTATTGGTTGATTTTTGTAAGTTTGACAAGAAGCCGATGACAATAATCTCCATGTCTGACACTATACACAGCTTGCATGGAAATCTGAAATTGTGATATTACTTCCTATTGTGATTATATAAAATTCACAATTTTTTGATGTTATATGTTTGGTCTCTGGTGTGTTTCTTCAGTGGGAGGGATAGCGTCCTCATGCCTCAGTTGCTGGTTGTCATTTCTTCTGCGCTCATCCTGATTTGTTCCATAATAGCAACCACATGCTTTTCCCTCCATCTACGATGGATCATAAGAAAAAGGCGACATGACTAATTAGTGTGTTTGTTCTCACACAAGCACATTAATAACTGCCATTAATTGCCTAGAATGCAATACACAAGCAGAAAAAATAAAGAATGGATATCAATAAGCTCACATCCCCCAAGCCACCCAATCAAAGAGAGATAGACCTTGGCCGGTACAGGAAGTGCCAAGGTACCTTTAAGAGTTATGACTTTGTCTACCTAAGCTATAATTCATATTAAAGATTTTTTGATATACTACCACATTCAGGTTTCCAATGCCTGACCCTCATAAACATCCAATGATTTGGCACGTGACTCATTCCTCAAGTGTGTCTGTTGTAATGAAATAGTAATTTCTTCATTCAAATGAAACATGTCTGTTGTGACATGAGTGTTTCTGTAAGCCGTGCCTCCTCACATGACTTTTTGATGAAACCTTGCTCAACAAATTGGATGTAACACTTATAGGTCTTAAATTCCAAAGCTGGTGCTGTCAAGCCTGTTGAATATTTAATGACATAATAAAGCAGGGCCATAAAGTAACTAAATAGATAAGTTTGTAATTCAAACGCTCCATATGCAGGTTAAATTATGTATTTCCAATGCCTTTTCAGGTATATTCATGCATTATAGAGGAGGAGGCGAGGCAATTCTAATAAATGATACATAGCAATTGATTCAGTTCTGGTGAATATAGAAATGTAAATCTTGCATGGTGTAATATATCCTGTTTCCCATTACAGTTGATGTGAGTGAATTTTTCTTATTACGAGTGGGCCGTTTTCCCTAAGGCAGTTTCATATGGTGTGGCATAGAGACACACGTGTGTCATATTCTTTTGGTCCAACACACAAGGGAGTTTTTAGCTGGAATCAAACCGTTTTCAGTACATTGATATGATGTGGAATAAAGCCTTTAATAGAACTATGATTTACTGTTATTGTGTGTCTAATAGACATGTGGATGGAGTTTTAATGCCTGCTGTTGTCTCATTTGCACAGAGACATTGACTGCATTACAGCAAGTCCTAACCAGGCACGACAAGCAATAAATCTTAAATGTTTTTGTCCTAAACAGCCATGACCACAACAAGCAGCATACATTTTGTTGTAGTAGTCTTTTATGCTCACCAAGGCTGCATTTATTTGATCAAAAATACAGTAAAAACAGTAATATTGTGAAATATTATTACCATTTAAAATCACTGTTATTGTTAATCACTGTTGAATATATTTTCAAATGTAATTTATTCCTGTGACGGTAAAGACTGTTGAATATATTTTCAAATGTAATTTATTCCTGTGACGGTAAAGCTGAATTTTCAGCAACATTACTCCAGGCTGCAGTGTCACATGATCCTTCAGAAATCATTCTAATATGCTTCTTTTTTTTTTTTTTTAAAGGCCTTCCTGTCCCTTTTTGTAATTTAAGTATAAATATTATTAAATAAAAGTATGAATTTCTTATTAACTAATTATATATATATATATATATACAGTATAATATATAATATATAAACATATACAACATATATACATATATAAAATGCCAAATAAAAGCAAAAAATGTCCAAATTGAACATAAAACATTTGGTTGCTAATTATTTTAATTCTGTAAGAAAATATATGGAGAAACGAGTGCAGGCATTGAAAAAGTGATATGACTCTGCCTCAAGTTATGTGACTGAATAATTTCAAATGATTGTCTACTACTGCCTCCCAAAATTGTCAAATGATATACTGTCGCTGCACACACAGTGAATTCTCATTGGTCCCACAACCACATTTTAAACATCAAATATGTTTTGATAAGCCAATCTGATGGGATCTGTCCAATTGTACAGTGTTTTCACTTTCAGCGTAGACAGAGAAATTGCTGGAAACTTGCAGCTGTTGTATCTGCTTAGAACAGTGTTTGTGTTTGTATAATAAGCCTATTACATTCGTTCCTCGTCCATATTCAGCAGTATACACCTGATTGATTTTTTCAATAAACAAAATAATCAGTATCCTTATTGGATTATCCAATTGAAATGATTCCAATATCCATTTCTTTCTCTCCCACTGTTATATTGTCTAAAATAAACAGTCAGATATCTAGCAGTGTCAGTGTTCCTCCCCTGAAGGCTAATAGATTCATATATTAATACATGTCAGAGGTGGGAGGTTTGGAGACATTTGTTTGAGCGACTCGTGAAATGTGAAACATTTGCATTTTGTCTATCACAGTGGTACGGTGTAAAGCGGGTTAAATGCCCAGAGGGAATCTGCACCCGTGTGATTGAATCTCCCTGATTTAATGCACTCATCACTGACCTGTGCTTCCCTCTCTCCATCTGTCTCCCAGGAATGTGAGTTCGGCAGGAGAGGAGGCTCGGCGGCGGATGAGAGAATGCGAGGGTCTGACTGACACGCTGCTTTTCGTCATCCAGACTTCCCTCGGAAGCAGCGAGATTGATAGCAAGGTACGCTTTCCTCCTGGGATCCGTCCATCTCTCCCAGAGCTTAAAGGCAACCTGTAGTAAAAGTTTTTACGTCTGTGAGTGTGTGTGTGTCTGCAACAAATAAACAGCTCTGTGGTTGGCTGCTCTCTGAAGGTTGCAAAGGCTCACTCTTCTAAATGGCGTTCTTTAATCATGATTTAACTGGCAGCTCTCCGTCTGGCCCAGCGTGCTAATAGCAGAGCGCAGGGGATGCATCCGTCCTAATGAGAATTGAAGAGCAGAGCGTGTGGATGCTGGAGCGTGGCACAGTTCTTTCCCTCTGGTCATTTTCAGACTTGCGAGCATTCCAACTTTCCCACAATTCCTGCGGTCTGAATCCCCCCGCGGTGCACTCTCAACCACCTCTCTTCACAGTTTCCAAACTCACAGCACGGCTAATAAAAAATAGTGTACTTGAATTTCTTGTAATATCTCTTCAGGCTTTATAGGCTGAATGTAGATGGTTAGAAAAATGTTAAAAAAATTTTTATTAATTTCACTCTCCGTCATGTCATTACAAACCTGTATGACTTTCTTTCTTCTGCAGGACACAAAAGAAGATGTTTTGAGAAACATCCAAATGTCCAACACAATATTGGACCACATTGACTTTAATTGTATGGAGTTGAAACGTTTTTCAAAATATCTTGTTTTGTTTTTCCACAGAAGAAAAGTCATACAGGTTTGGAATGACATGAGTAAACTGATGAAAGATGCTTCATTTTTGAGTGAACTATCCTTTTATCTCTTTCCCCACCAGCGTTTTTCAAAAAAGTTGCCAGCCACCGCCAGCATTTTTTATCATTTTCACTAAAATTTCATGGCCCCCAGAATATTTTGTTGTATGAATATCTGAACATGCAATGCATCAAAAAAACAAAAGAATAGAGCCTCTACTTTTAAACAAAAAAATTATGTTGTATTCTTGCTTCAAGCGCTATTTTTTATCAACACTTGAATGTATGCAAGTTTCATAAAAAAGCGAAATTATGAGCAAAAAGCTGAGAAAATTTTTATCAGATACTACATCTGGATCATATTCAGTAAGAATCTGAAGAATACTCTTCTATCAGCACCCCTAAAGCTTGCACAGTCCTTTACCACTTCCTAGATCGACATTTCACTCGGTAACATTAGGCAGTTTTCATTTATGTGCTGTTTAATGTTGATGATCGTGTTATTTTCCATATGCATATGCTTACATACGAGATCGCTCATTTCTGCGTCTTCCACATCTGTGTTTTTGATCCCACTTTATATTAAGTGGCCTTAACTACTATGTACTTACATCAAAAAATAAGTAAAATTTATTTTTTGTGTTTATATTGTATTGCAAAACACTTTTGCTGCTATTGAGGTGGGATACGGGTAAAGTTAGGAACCAGTTTGGTGGTATGGGTAGGTTTAAGGGTGAGTTAAGGTGTAAGGGATAGGTCAACAGAGTAATTATAAATGTAATTACAGAAAATAATTACAGATGTAATTACAAGCAGGTATTTTTTTTAGTATAAGTACAATGTAAAAACATGTATGTTCACAGAAAGTGCGTTGTACCAAATGCTTAATTTAAATGTAAGTACATAGTAGTTAAGGCCACTTAAAATAAAGTGGGACCGAAAAATTTGTTTGCCCTTTTACCTTAGAGAACATGTAAAACCAAAGTATACTTTGCTATGTAAATCTGGTAAGCTAAAAACAATGGCATAGGTTTAATTTGAACATTGGTGGGCGCTATATTAAAGGAATAGTTCTCTCAAAAATAAAACATCTGTCATTAGTTTACTCATCCTCATGTCGTTCCAAACCTGTAAGATGTTCTTCAATATATTTGGTTGTATAATGGGTCCAGTATTGTTTTGGACCCCATTAAGTCACTCTTTAAACTATCTTCTTTTGTGTTCTGCAGAACAAAGAATGTATACTTTGGTTTTATGCATGTGTTGCTAAAAATCTGATATCTGGACTCTTCTCGTTGCTCTCAAAATACAGGACAGAGCAAAAAAACGTCAGGCGTATTGAAGCACTTGAGAGTTAAAAGCACACCAATAAGCTAGTGGGCTTCACCACTGTGCCATTTGTCCCCATTTTACTGCGACCTTGTGAGAATTTCATCTAAATGTAAAAATACTAATTCTGTAAGTGCACCTCCAGCCTATGGTTACATCTTTTCTTCTTCCCTATACATGTCCATTTAACTCCTTTTAGAGCACTAAGCACTCTTTTTCATCCATTAGTGTGCTTTAACACATTGCAAACACTTAAAAAAGCAACTGCGACCATTTTACCCATCACACTGGCTTCGAAAAAGGGCAATCATCCTAATCACTCCAATTTCTTTATGTGTAGTGATTTGCCCAGAGCTGTTTTCGCCAGGTGTTGGCCCAGCAGAGCTATAATTGCTGAAAGCACGCCACCCATGATCTTAATGTGCTGTTAACCTGCGGTTGGTCAATCTCCCTCCTGTTGACTTCAACATTTAAAATGGGGACCTTGTAAACTGCTGCCAGTAAGAGAGATGGTGCTGCCCCAAATTTCACCAGGTGCGATATTCATTATGTAGCACATTTCCAGGAAAATTTCAGTAGAACTTGTTTTGTTTTCCTCAAAAACCATGGAGAAAGCAAGGTCAGCCATGTCTGGGTTTTTGTAAGTCAATATGTTTCTGTACATCTGAAATGCCAGTGCATAATTCTCTGAGTGTTTCTCTGATTACAGTCATTATTTTTGTTTGTGCAGGGCATGGTCCTCCTCGTTCCATAATAGGGAAAAAAAGAAAAACATGGAGATTGAGAAAAATGCTCGTTTTTCATCATCATTTTGCGAGCATTTATTTTCTATTTTCTGCTGTCAAGCATTGTGCCTGCTCTGCTGTGTCTCGTTGTAATACACTGTTAAATGGAGTGTGAGCCGATGGATTTGGCTGGTCATTTTTCCCCATCTGCGAGTATATCCTTTAATCACATTTAAATGGGAGACCGTGTCAGACATATAATTAAGTACTTTCATATACATAGTGCCAATGCAGCCTACACTCTCCCAGCCAACACTCAGAGAAAGACGGAGACAGAGGAAATTAGAAAGTTAGATGAAATGAAAGAGAGTAGGGGTTTTGTTTCGTTTTTTCCAAATATAAATTTTTACATGTTACTTTATTTTTTATATTTTACTTTATTTTATTTGACTTTATGTTTTTTACTTCAACAGTCCTTTAGAGAAAGGCCAAATTTCGGGATAAACTACTAAATCTTAAGAGGTTGAATTTAATTTTGAACTGAAATTAAATGAAATCTTGCAAGCCAGTAGTTTGAGACGCCTTCTGTAATGGCTGCTTTTTTCGGAACACTTGCTAATCGTTATGACGGCACAAGAAGTGCATTCAGACCTGTGTGTGTGTATTTGTGTGTATTTGTGTGTATTTGTGTGTGTGTGTGTGTGAGAACAAGTGTGTGTTTCCTCTTGTCTCAGAACCAGCATGAGCTGAATAGATGAAGTTTGGCCCCTCTGGCCAGATGGGCTCTATCAAGAGCTCAGTGGTGCTAGACTAATACCTGCCCAATATCTGTCTCTCTCTTTCTCTGCCAGACCATAGAAAACTGTGTATGCATTTTGAGGAACCTCTCCTATCGGCTTGCAGCTGAAACATCTCAGGGACAGCAGATGGGGACGGACGAGCTGGATGGCCTCCTGTGTAGCGATGCCAGCGGGAAGGACGGAGAGACCTCAGGCTGCTGGGGAAAGAAGAAAAAGAAGAAGAAGTCCCAGGACCAGGTAGGACACCCGATGCATCATTTACAGGCATTGGTAGCCCTCACCGGCTGACAATGACTCTAACACACTTTACTTTGGAAATCATAGTCCAGAATATAGTGAAAGAGGCTATTTGAAGTCAACAGGAAATCAAGTTGTACATTATTACCCTTATTTCCTCCGTTTATACTTGTTGCAAGTCTTACTGTATTTTCAACTTTTTTTATTTATTGTGTGTGTGTGTGTGTGTGTGTGTGTGTGTGTGTGTGTGTGTGTCTCTGTCTCTCTCTGTGTGTGTGTGTGTGTGTGTGTGTGTGTGTGTGTGTCTCTGTCTCTCTCTGTGTGTGTGTGTGTGTGTGTGTGTGTGTGTGTGTGTCTCTGTCTCTCTCTGTGTGTGTGTGTGTGTCTATCTGTCTGTCTGTCTGTCTGTCTGTCTGTCTATATGTATGTATATGCCCTAATTTTCACTTATGTCACATTATGGAAGTAAAATAAGTTGTGAACGTCATTTTGTGTTGACTGGCTAGAGAAAGAGGGCTTTATTTCACAATAAAATGCTTCTCTGCTTTAGAAAGAGATCCCAGCAAAAAGTAGGCATTTCATATCAAAATATTAATAACACAATCAGCATATTCAACTTCCTTTTACACCCCTCGTTGCCTCAAAATAATCCCAATTTATGTTTCAGTTCGTTCCCCAAATAACAGATTTATACGCCGCCCTTTTATCAATTACTTCCTCTGCAAACGTAACGTTCACCACCTACAGAGCCGCACCGTCAGACAGTGAGTTTCCCCAGTGACATGCTCTACGGCTGATAAATCTCAGTGTTTGTGGGTGTCAGACTAAAGGGGGGGGGAACCCAGCCTTTTTACAGGCGACTCCTCCATAGCAGAGGAAACTCTTCGTTAATCTCACGCAGGAAAAGTCAGCCGGGATCCTCGGTGCAGACGAAGAGGGGGAGCGTGAAGGTGGGGGAGCAGTTGTGTAACACAACTCCCTCTGGATATGTCCCGTTCCAGTGGAGCCATAAAGCTAATAGCTGGTGATATACTGTAGCCACCGATAGCTGAATATAATCCTCCTAAACTAAAATAAAACCCGCGTTTGCTGCAAAAGAGATGTCCGTCACAACAACCTCCACTTGCTACGTGCCTAGCAAGAAGTGGTAAAACTTTAAAAGCAGTCAGAGTCGAATAATACATCAGAGCTATTGCTCTGTTGAGATTATGACAGCATAGACTGTTGTATTAAACATAGCGTGGGGATGTTTTGCGTCGTCTTTTACATTTGAACATTCAAAGATGTATTTCCTTCATTCATTACCTCAAAACCCGTACATGAGTTTGCAGATCTGTTTTAGGATTCAGTCAGATGTGTCTCCTCCAATCAGATTACAGAAGGAAGGAGATACAAGGATACCCGAGTCATCTGTCTCTGCCTGTTGGACTGTAAAGAGGGCTATTTCTCCCCATTACCTAAGGTGCCCTCTCGTATCATGTGCCGGACCTTCTCCTCAGCCGAGACGCTTTGAAAGAGGACACCTGGGCCTCCAGGCAACAGAAGGCTAATGTACTCCGTTAAATCATTTATCACTAAGTGGCAGCGAGGTAGCCCAGGAAACCAGAGCGTGCCGCCGCCGCGGCTCTGGCGGGCAGGACAGTGGCGTTTAGCGTAGCTAATTGACTGAGAGGGGAGAGTATGTAAACCAGAGCAATTTCAGCCCACCAAGCACTGATACCCTTCTTTGAGTTTACTCTGAGAAATGGAGCATGGAGCGCTCATTATGCTCAAAGCTTGCTGACAGGAAAAGGGCGAAGAGAAAGTTTTTGACAATTTGAGATGCTGTTTTACGCTCTGATAACTCAGAAGAAGCATTAGGATCACATTGTAATTTTTAGATTGAGGGTAACTCTCGTTTTTGGTTTTGAAAAGCTGTAAGAGTAGCATTTAGGCAGATTTGACTCATTTTAGATGCCCAAAAAGACACGTTTTCTGAAAATCTATCTGTCTGTCTATCTATCTATCTATCATCTATCTGTCTGTCTGTCTGTCTATCTATCTATCATGTATCTGTCTGTCTGTCTAATATCTAACACATTTAAATTTTTTTTTACAAAATGTCTTGATTTTTTAAATGAATGTTAATCATCGACTGATATAATAAAATATATATTGTTAAATATAAATAATAAAATTATATAAATGTATAAATATACATTTTTTAAATATAAAAACATGGGTCATTCCTGTCATATTTTCTGTAACTTTTCTTGTCAAATGACAACAAAATAGCTACCTGCATATTGGTTGCACAACTCTCACTTTGGCAGACAAAAGTTCTCCAAATATTAATAATATTTGAAAACTATTTTTAAACTGTTTTTAAATCAAAAATAATAAAATGTTAAAAATAAAGAAAACTTTGTTTCTTTTTTTTTTACAATCTCTGGATAGTTACACCACAAGTTTACATCACCTGTATTAATTTATTTTTTTCAGAAATTGAAAACATGTTCATCATAGAAGAGGTGTCATTATTTTTTAATCAGTTGAAAGATTTGGAAGTATGCGGCATGTCTTTGACCCTGATGCCATCCTTAGCAAGCACCTTTTTCATTGATAAATTATGAAAAGTTTTGACAGCAATTGTGTAAGACTGAATGTTTGCGAAATGTTGCCCTCACTGTTTGCATATAGTGAAACAACAGATTAAACCAAGTCTCCTCTCAACCTCTTACCATTTCTTCTGCGTTCACCGTATGGGAAGAGCAGCAGCCTCACGGGGCTTCTCCACCGTCCAGCAGTTGATTGAACAACAGAGCCACTCCTCCGAGCAGGAACGGGTGGAGATGAAAACAGACTCATTAATAATGAAGGGAGAGTGAAGCTGAGTGCCAGAGCTAGTTTAAGATGCTGAGGTATTTCACATGTTGCTCTGCCTAAAAGTAGGTCAGCCTGTGAGACCAGCACTTTTCAAACTGACTCACCCACACGCTTCAAATGCAGACTTACAACTCGTCATTCCTGCTCGGTTTTGGGTCTATTCAGGCCACGATTTGTCAAGAGATCTCCTCGTGTGGTGTTTGTGTGTATGTGCAGGGGGTTACATTTGCCTTTTGACCCGTTCAAAATGACAGCGATTTTATCTCAGGAGTTCGCCAGGTCGCTGTACTGATGGTTGCTAGTAGGCGGGATACCTTAATGTCATTGGTGGTCATAGCTGTAGAAAATCTGATAAAAAAGAGATAAATAAAAATGAAAGTTTTTCTTGACACTAAAAGTGAACACTCTGGAGGAGAAAGTGTTTGTATAATATTCAAACTGCAGCAGTGCGTGGTATATAACGATGAAGAGAAATGATTATTAATTCATGAATACGACTTGCTTAGAATAATTTCTGATGCAGTTTTCCTTGTAGCTTTTTTTATTATACTGACATACACTACTGTTCAAAAGCTTAGGATCAGTAAGTTAAGAAATTTTTTTTTCAGCAAAGCTGCATTAGAATAATTAATAAGTGACAGTAAAAGACATTTAAAATTTTACAAAATATTTATATTTCAAATAAATGCTCTTCTTTTGAACTTTCTATTGATCAGTGAATCCTGAAAAAAGCATTGTGATTTCCACACAAACAAGTATTACCATTTACACATATTTTTCCCAAAAATGTTAAGCAGTAAAACAGCATTGAAAAAGAAATGTTGCTTGAGAATTCTGAAGGATCATGTGATTCTAAAGACTGTAATAATAGCTACTGAAAATAGTGAGATTTGTTCCCCAAACTAAAGTGTGACCGAAAACAGTTCTTTTAAATTGAATAATATTTCCAAACATTACTGTTTTACTGTATTTTTTAACAAATAAATGTGAATAAACTTCTTTTCAAAAACATTTTTAAAAACTTTTGAATGCTAGTGTATATATAAATCATATTGAAGAGTAACATCACATTAACTTCTCCGTCGTATCACATTGGCATTTGAATAGCTGCACATTTTCATAAAGTCAAACTTTTCTCACTGTTGCTCATTGAAAATAAATCAAGTTGCTTTGTCACTGCAGATTTATGTCAGTGTGAATGCCGCTTCATAAGGATTTAGATGCTGATGGCGATGGATTTTGAGTGTTTTCCTGTCTGACTGACTTGTTTTTCATGTCACATCTTTGTTTCTGTAGTGGGATGGTGTGGGACCGCTACCAGATACTGCTGAACCCCCCAAAGGCATTCAGATGCTGTGGCATCCATCGATAGTAAAGCCCTACCTCACCCTCCTGTCTGAGTGCTCAAACCCGGACACGCTGGAGGGGGCTGCCGGGGCACTGCAGAACCTGGCTGCTGGGAGCTGGAAGGTAAGCCCTACGGTCAGTCACCTTGTGTATGTATCTGTCTGTGCTGGAGATATGGCTTGGGATGCAACAAATATTGTTTAAAATACAAGTAGATCAGCTGATGATTATGTGTCAGCATTCATTGTTGATTTTGCTTTGTGGATTTAATTGTTATGACTCTATCTCTCTGTATTTTTTAGATAGATAGATTTTTAGATAGATAGATAGATAGATAGATAGATAGATAAATTGTTCATTTATTTATTTCATTTAAACTTTTGGTGTCTGTCTGAGGGCAAATGTTTACTTGCTGTAGGGTTAGGGGTCGTTAAAAACATTAAAAGTATTTAAAGAATTTAAAAATTATTAAAATGGTTAATCATGTATTTTTTAATAATTTTGCATAGTTTTATTTTTAGTCATTGGTAGCTGTCTAAGTGTAAGCCAATGTAGCATTGAGGACCTTAAACAAAAATAATTTAATATTCGAATAATAAAAAAATAACATTACGATGTTTATGTTTATTTATTTATGTTTATGCCTTTAAAGTATGACAATTCAGCATGTGACATATTTGAATGATGCCATAATTTATCTGACCTTTTTTGCTAGTATTTTCCAAGACTGTTTTTTTTATTTTAGATTTATTTTTGGTGTTTTGCCTTTTTTACAATATGACAGTTGAGAGCAGACAGGAAGTGAAGTGGGAGAAAGAGAAGGGAGTGGGATCGGGAAAGGTCCTTGAGCTGGGATTCAAACTCAGGACGCCCGTAACGCAACAGCATTATGTCAATGCACTTGTCCACTGGGTTATCGGCACCGACAGGACAGTTTTCTATTGACTTAGTCCACCTAGCATCGGACAAAGAACTGCATAGCAACATGATAAAAACCACGCAGAACACCTTAGCATTACACTCTGGTACCTGATATGTTTTCTTTACTTGTTTTCACTGAAGGTTTTATTCGCTGTTGTCAGGATCTAAATTTATTGAACGGTGCAAGAAGAAATAGTGTAAAATTGCATTTTTCTTGACATGAAAAGACTTGCTTTCATCAGATGTTTAAACCAGTACCAATCTCCCTTTTGGCCCCTGCTTCTCTCTTTGTTCTCACATCCTTTTCACCATCTCTCAGCGACAAAAGCTTTTTTACCTCTGTTGCTCGAGAGCTCTAATCCACCCGATGTGCTCTGCAAGATCAATACTCTCAAATGGAGACAGATGCAATGGGATTGGATTGGTTTTGAAGTCTCATAACAGGTTTAGACCCCCTTCAAGAAGTTAAATGAAAGCGGCGTCCCAGCGACCCCTCTCCACACCTACAGGGCAACAGGTTGTATATGTGTCTGCTGTTGGGTTGAGTTTGTTGGAGAGACAAACGGGAAAGTAAAAGAAAGCGAGAGACTGGGTCTGTCTGCCTATTTTGTCCAGTTCCCATAATTGGCTGCTCTGTTTGTTCATCTAGAAGAGCTGACAGTGAGCCCTCGTCTAATATGTGTGAACTAAGCTCTCTGTTTATGTTTTCAAAGTCCATCTCGGACAGTGGGATTATCAAATCCCACGCTGTGTGTACTAGGAAATGGAAACAAAGCCCTTAACTTAAGACGGACCAAAAAAACACTCAAGTGTGAAGAATGCTTTCTCGTCAAAAACTCCTTTTCAATTACGGTTTCAAGGATATTTCTTTTATTTGCATTATTTATAATACAAACTTAAGTTTTAATGAACTGTGATGTTAATTTTCACTAAATGACAGATTTACATTTTCACACACTCATTTTAAGTGCCATTTTTTCTGTTCCTAAACCTAGTAAGCTGCCTCTGTGATGTACTTTGCCTGATTTAACACAATTCCAGGCAATTTGATTTTTAATATACACCTGTGTGGAGCAGGATTTTGGACCAATGAGATTTCACCACGGATGGCAAAACGCCACAGAAATAGAAATTAAGAGACAGACGAAATGCTCTGTCGCTCGTCACTTGTCGAGGTCACTTGTTAGACACCATATTAGGCAGCATCCTAACTGCAAATGAACCTCACAAGTGATTCATTTGAAACACTCTACATAGGCATAGGTTACTATGCAGTATGAAAAAGTATGGAATTTGATTTTTTGTCATTTCCAGTACCGGATAAATATGAAAAAAGAAGTATGGAATGGAAAAATATTTGTGTTTCCAGGCTATTGCCCCCATTCTATTTTCTAAAACACATAAATGAGAATTTCAAAAAATAAATTCATCACACAAGCAGAGTGTTTTTCATGGTGTTGGAGCAGTGCAGCTAAAAGTTTAGTGATTGTTTATCACAACTGAATCAATTCATGGTGCATATTTTCATTATGCAAAACTGTTTGTCTTTGCCATAACCTCTTTCGAACTACACTAAATGAATGAGCATCCACGTCACTCAAACTAGCAACAGATAAAGGGAGTACGCAATCATTCAAATCAGATTGTACTTTGCTGTTTGGTGATTATGCAACATCAAACCATGATTACAGTATTGATGTGTCAGAGGTGAATATATGCAGGTCATAAAGCGTTTTAGGTTTGTGCGTGCTCAAGAAAAACAATGTATGCCGTGAAAGAGGCTTTACTAATAGTTTTATTTATTTATTTATTTTATTTATATCAGTTTTTTAATCTGTGCTTTTCAATCTTTATTTTGGAAGAAAATAATACTTTCATTCAGCAAGGATGCAAAAAAAACATCAAAAGAGGCAGTAAAGTCATTTACAAACAAATTCTGTCAAATAAATGCTGTTCTTTTGAACTTTTGTTTTTTACAACAAAGAATCTTGGAGAAAGAATGTATCATGGTTTTAACAAAAATATTTAGCAGCACAACTGTGATAATAAGAAATGTTTCTTAAGCACCAAATCAGCGTATCAGAATGATTTCTGAGGGGTCATGTGACACTGAAGACTGTAGTAATGATGCTGAAAATGTAGCTTTGCCATTACAGGAATAAATTACATTTTAAAATATATTAAAATAGAAAACAGGTATTTTAAATTGTAAAAATATGAATTTGAAACAACTTTTAATTCTGGAGTGAGCCTATGCTCTGCTTACTAGGTAGGCAGCTTACAAGGTTTTGGAACAGAGCCTCTCTGTCATTGTGTTTTTGACGCTCTCTTTTTTTATGCACACATACAGAGGTCATCAGAAATGAGAAATATGAGGGGATGCCTGCTGGGCCGTATGCTGCGGTCTCCCCCGTTACAGCAGAAGTGCAGGGTAGCAGAGAGTCTAATCTGAGCTGACACTCCATCACTGATATAGGCTGATCCCACAACTGGGGTCATACAGAGAGAACCTCAGAGAGCTAAAGCTCTGAGCTAGTATTAGTTTTTCACTGTAACCTGGGGAGTGTGATTACACCGTCAGCGGGGTGCTGATCCAAAATGAGACACTTTACAGGCATTTGCCCACATGGCATATCCAACTATGACGATACACTTCATGGTCTCCTGAAAACTGCTGATATGTAGAATTATATATAGCAAAGTGGCCAAAAGGTGTTATTTGTCATATTTAGCGACTTACACCTGTTTATTTGTGTGTGTGTGTGTGTGTGTGTGTGTGTGTGTCTCCCCTAGTGGTCGGTGTACATCCGTGCGGCGGTGAGGAAAGAGAAGGGTCTGCCCATCCTCGTGGAGCTGCTGAGGATAGACAACGACCGTGTGGTGTGTGCCGTCGCTACCGCGCTCAGAAACATGGCCTTGGACGTCAGAAATAAAGAGTTAATTGGTACGGCCCTTTTTTTCCCTCTTTTGACTGTCGTCTTTTATTTTATCAGCCACTATGATTCACTTTGTTTCAAATGGTTCAGATCCATTGGATTTGTAGAGCTCAGGGTTAACAGCTGTGGTCTCTTTGGCCTCTCTGTAATGAAGTCCAGTCTCTTATGTTTTAGCCAGTGTGGTAAAGAGGACTGTTCGTTGCTCTCAGCTCAAAGGAAGATAACTGTCATTTTATTATTACACATTTCCTGGCCACTCATCATTTTAAATTGTCTAGCAGGCATCAGGCTGCACTTGCACATTCTTGGCAGATGGCTTTTGGGCAACTGTTTATATGCTGTATATATTTTTGGTTTTGTTTGGGGTTTTGGGATTTTCATTGCTGACTGACTTTACTTAAAGTGACATGCAGTTGCATTTGTGCATGGAGGCTACTCAAAGGGTCGTTCCAAAGTGACTGTTTGATTTTGATTTTTGTTTTTTGTTTTTTTGTTTTAGTCTGGTTTGTTTGTTTTGTTTTTGTTTTTGAGTAGCTGACTTTTCTGAAAGTGACATGCAACTCAAAATTGTTTGATTTGAATGATGTTATCAAACAGTTTTGTTTTGGATTGTTTTTTTTGTTTGTTTGTTTTGTTTTTTGTTTTTTGCTATGTTTTGACTTTGTTGTTTTAGTTTGGTTTGGTTTCTTTTTTGTTTGGTTTTGGCCATGTTGTTTTAGTTTGGGTTGGGTTTGTTGTTGTTTTGTTTTATTCTTATGACTTATTCTGTCTTTAATGTCTTTTTTTGTATTGTTCAGCTGACTTTACTGAAAGTGACAAAGGTTTTGGAGGCTTTTCAAAGGGTCTAAATCCCATCACAAATGGCCCTTCCTTAAAGGGGTCCTATTATGCTTTTTCACTTTTTCAACTTTAGTTAGTCTGTAATGTTGCTGTCGCCAGAAAGAAGGCGTAACTTTATTGTTGCTGCCACCGCCGCCACCATGTTGTGAAGATGCTGTGTTCGTTGCGAAAGCGAAACTACTTTGTTTGGCCTTCCAAATGAGGACACGACTAGAAATCAGTGGTTAAGTTGTATTTACAACACTGTTCCAGAACAGTTCAACCCAAATATT